TGAAAAGAAGGAAAGAGAAGAGACCAACCGCCGTAACGCCGTTGTGAAATTCCCGCCAAGTCTGACGCATTTCATCCTCGCAGCAGGGGACATATGGCGCTATATAAACGGGATATAACGTACAATACGTCACCGTCATTTCCCGTGTTACACCCTTTTGGCTTCGGCTTTGGCCAATAGCTATACTATCAATTAAATTTGATTTAAATCGTACGTTGGTTACGTGATACTAGCAATTTCATCATAAATTGGCTTTCTGTGGCTTCAAACTTTTCTGTCTCAGTCTGAACTTTGTCGAGCTCAGAACCCTGAGGTCCCGAACAACATGAAGAGTCTCTGACTGTCTTCGACCTCAAATCCCCAATTCTGGTCTTGTTTTATCGCTTAGAATTAGAAATTTAGAAATAGGAACTCTTGCTTTTGCGTCTCAGCTCTCAGAACGTGACCATGTCCGGACCACTCGATCGATTTGCCAGGCCTTGTGAGTTCACTTTCTTTGACCCATTCCTATATTTTCTGTTCGTTAATTGTTTTCAATTCTTGCTTTCTATTCTTTATATTTCTTATTCTTAAGACTTTTGTGAAATTTTCCGTGTGGTTTAGTTATCCGAGATCTCTTTTGCTTTTGCGAGTTCTAGGGTTTTGAATTGGGGAGGGGGGTTTGAATTTTGCGTACTAGTCTCTAGGGTTTTGGGTGTGGCCCTCGTTTGTTCTTACATGCTTTGGGAGAGATACTTAAATTTTTTTTATCTTCGACTAGAATTGGATTGTTACATTGCTTGTAACAAGATTTATGCTAAGAAAAACGATGTTGATGGTAGCATTAGGACTTGATGATGGTAACTTTGTTAACGCTCTTTAGGTTTTGAGGGGTTCTCCAGCCATGACGAGAGAAAAGAAAGGAAGTCAGATTATGAGAATTCAGAGGACGATAGGAGGACTAGAATTGGGAACCTGAAGAAGAAAGCAATCGATGCGTCTAGTAAATTCAGACATTCTCTCAAGAAGAAAAGGAGGAAAAGTAGCAGTCGGCTCACTTCTGTTTCAATTGAGGATGTACGGGACGTTGAGGAGCTACGGGCTGTTGATGCATTTCGGCAGGCACTTATCTTGGAAGAATTGCTACCTCCAAGACTTGATGACTATCATATGTTGTTGAGGTATTCATTTTCCCTTTTTTCTTCAAAAAAATAAGAGTAACGAAAAAGAAGGTTTTTTCCTGCAAAAAAATATTCAATATGGGAAGTTTGGTTTTTCTGTTTCCTTGTGTGGGTTCTTCCTGAGGAGTTATTCTGTTGCAGATTTTTGGTAGCAAGAAAGTTTGATATCGAGAAAGCAAAGCATATGTGGGCCAGCATGATTCAATGGAGGAAAGAATTTGGTACTGACACAATTTTGGAGGTAAATTTTCAACAGTTTCATGTAACTTAGATTTTCTTGCTCTGCAGTGCATACTTGAATCTTTGTTTCTTTAATGACGTTGTTATGCCACCCATCAGCAGAAATAGTACTCACATTCTTACTTTTTCTTCTAGGATTTTGAGTTCAGTGAGCTGAATGAAGTTCTAAAGTACTACCCGCAGTGTTATCATGGTGTTGACAAAGAGGGAAGACCTGTTTATATCGAAAGATTGGGGAAAGTTGATCCCAGTAAGCTCATGCAAGTGAGTTCTTTGGAACGGTATGTGAGATACCATGTGCAGGAGTTTGAAAGGAGTTTCGCCATTAAGTTTCCTGCCTGTTCTATTGCTGCAAAGAGGCATATAGATTCAAGCACAACAATTTTAGATGTTCAAGGCGTGGTATGCTTTCAATTGACATGATATTTATTTTGAATTGTGCTTGGAATTTTCAATATTGGCATAATAGACTACATCAACGTTTTGGTTTGCTCCCTCAAATTGTGTACTTTTCAGGGTTGGAAAAACTTTACCAAGTCTGCCCGAGATCTCATGGTACGGCTGCAGAAGATTGATAGTGACAACTATCCTGAGGTATGCAGACTTGATAACTAATGCCATATTAGCTTTCAATAATTGATGCCTTTTTCAATATATGTGGTAATTGTTATTAAATCCAATGAAGCATATCTTCTAATTTATCAATTCCGTATTTGCAGACACTTTGCCGAATGTTTATAATTAATGCTGGTCCTGGTTTTAGGATGCTCTGGCCTACAGTTAAAGCATTTCTTGATGCTAGAACAACTGCAAAAATTCATGTATGGTTGACGATACATCAGACCATTGGATGTTTCTATGGACTGAAGTTCTCAACAGGGTCAGCTGATTTTTTATTTTTTATTTCTTTTTTCAGGTTCTGGGTAACAAGTACCAGAGCAAATTACTTGAAATAATCGATGCAAGGTGATTGATGCTTTTCTTTGTGGGTATGCGGGTTATTTATTGTTCAGTTGTCTTAACTATTAGATGTTGAAATATTTTGGCTCCTTTTAGTGAGTTGCCAGAATTTCTGGGTGGTAGCTGTACCTGTTCCAATCAGGGAGGTTGTATGAGGTCTGATAAGGGGCCATGGAATGACCCAAACATATTAAAGGTTCTGTTAGATGAATTATTATATTTGTGTCACCTTTTCTTCTTCTTGAAACTGTGCTTTGTATGGCTTACATGTAATGATTTTTGCTTGCAGATGGTACTTAGTGGCGAAGCACAATGTTTCAGACAAATAGTTACAGTTTCTAACAGTGAGGGAAGGATAATTGCTTCTGATAAGCCACGTATTCCAATGGTACGGATTATTAGACCATCCTACTATGTCTACAATGGATCTGTATGTTTATTTTAGAATTGATCCAAAAAAAATTCTTCCTTCTGATGCTATGTTTATATTGTTAATTCAGATAAGAAGTAGTGATACATCTACCGCAGAGTCGGGATCTGAAGTGGAAGAAATTGCTTCACCTAAAGCAACTAGGAGCTACATACAACCTAAGTTGACTCCCGTTTGTGAAGAAGTAAGTGTCTCTATTCAAACAATATCTGTCATTTGAGAATGTTCAGCAACATACGTCATTTGAGAATCCTTAGCAGGAAAAACATGTAGAACCAATCTAATAAATTTCATGAAAGGTTTTAGCATCACTTCCTTTATTAGCAATTACACGTGTGTATGTTCATATCATGTCATCTGAATTTTGAGCTCATTGATGGTATGCTTCAATGCTTGTTTAGGCTAGGGTGGTTGGTAAAGCAAGTAGCTCTGCTGGTTTGTCGGAGTACGATGAATACGTTCCCATGGTTGACAAGGCTGTGGATATTGGATGGAAGAAACCAGTCTTGCAACAAAATCCACTTACTTCTAGAGGTTTGGAATCTTAGTTATGCTTTCACTGTACCCTGTGACATAGCGTTATTTCTTTCTTGGCAGTAATTTAAACACATCTTATATTTACAAACGCCCTGCTACTATAAGAGTTATGCTCTTTCTTGGCAGTAATCTCTCTCTCTCTCTCTCTCTCTCTCTCTCTCTCTCTCTCTCTCTTCTCATTGGAATACATTGCAGGGGCATCTTCACCAAGATCTTTGGGGAAAAAACCAGATGGAATCTTGGCTCATGTCTGGACTATGCTTGTGGCATTCTTTGTAGCCCTTGTTATGCTAATCCGATCTGTTGCATTACGGGCGACTAAGAAACTTCCAAACTCTGTTTTGGATTCTGCTCACGACATTCCTGACCTGACTGCTGACACAGTTCCCATGGAGGAACTCCGGCCTCCATCACCTGCTCCAGGGTTTAGCGGGGCTAACCTTCTCTCATCTGCTTTGCAGAAGCTTGGTGAACTTGAGGAGAAGGTAGGCATGCTGCAAGCAAAGCCTTTTGAGATGCCTTATGAGAAAGTGGAGCTATTGAATGCTGCTGTTTGTCGTGTAGATGCGTTAGAAGCAGAGTTGATTGCCACAAAAAAGGTAATTTTGTCTCTCATTTGATAACCGTTTGTTTGTGCCGACTTACCAACAGTAGTGATTCATTGCTTGTTTTTACCTATGAAGATATCTGGTGTACCAACATGGTTGACTGAAATGTAGATATACAATGTTCACTAGTTACAACTACAGGTCTAAATATGATTTCACCAGTTCTCTCCATTTCCTGAATCCTTTTTTTTTCTTATGAATCAATCTAGATTTTTTGTCAAGTATACAGTCGTCATTATATGTTAACAAGGGTTATATATGCCTATCTTTTGATATTTGCATATTTTGGTCAGTTTATATATTCATCTTTGTTATTCCTTGCATTTTTCGATCATTTTGATGATTTAATTGTGATTTCATGCTTCTTCCTGACTAGGCTCTGCATGAAGCTTTAATGAGGCAGGAAGAACTTCTTGCATATATAGACAGGCAAGAACAGGCCAAGCTTCGGGTTAGTTAAAGATTTTGCTCCTTCATCTGTAGTTGAAAGATTTAATCAATGCAGGCTTTTCTATATTTTGCGAATGAAACTGAAAATTGTGCCCGTCTCTGTTGGTATGAAACAGAAAAAAGGGTCTTGCTGGTGAAGAGAGTCTCTGTTTCAAGAGGACTTGCGTGGTGATATGGTGGCTATCTTCGCTTGTTATGTTTAAAATATATTTTCGATATACCAAGTTTGTCTTCCAGAGGTGCTGCTGTTTCTGTTTATAAGCTTCCTACGCGTTATAATATTGTAAATAATGAAGAGTATTGTACAACATTCCTCAAGGTCTTCTGCCTGCGCATGCGCAATGACTCTCTAATTTATTTTGATACTGTAGTTATAATATGGAGAAATTCACCACGAAATATGTTAGAACCTTTAATGTTTATAACATCTGCTATAGGGTATGGCTCTCGTCATCTGCAACATTGATACACTCTACTCACCTCGTTTGGATACAACAGGAGTGATTATGCTAAATTGCAGGCTCGGTAATTAAGTTATTTTCATGGTTAGTGAACACGATTTCATATAAATTGAATGTTTTAGAAAAAAAATTCTATCTCTAGGGAACTCGTATCGTATCAATTGAAAAAGGTAAAGAGCATTAAGATACTGCTTTGTCCATATTCATTTGCCTACCGTAATATCCTGCCATGCAGTTTCCATCTTGTTCTTGCTTTGGAGGAATGTGATGAGACCTTGAAGGGAAACTTGAGCATCATCACTCTTCAGCAGCTCTCCAGCAACTTCAGCAGGTGTTGCTTGTGCCTTGTAATAATCTAGCAACTTCTCAATATCTCCAAAAAGTGGGTGCTCTTGAATCCGCAAGTAATTGTATGCCAATGTCTTGAAACCACTGAAGGTGCAGTAGGACAGGTGGATGTGCAGGTCCATCCGACCAGGTCGCAGCAACGCTGGATCAAGTCGGTCCTTGTGATTTGTGGTGAACACAATGATTCTCTCCTCTCCACAGGTTGACCACAATCCGTCAATGAAGTTCAATAGACCAGAGAGGGTAATCTGTAAATTAAGAAAGAAAGACATTAAGAACCCAACTTGTGAATTATATGATATATATTTTCCATACAGGCAATGTTAGGGGAGGGGGTGAAACAGGGGAGTAGTGAGCTTATATTACCTTGTCGTCTTCAACAGTTTTGGGTTCATTCTCAGCATCCCTGTTTTGCAACTCAACTGAACAATCTATATCCTCGATGACCAATATGGATCGGCTCTTGGTGCCAATCAACAACCTTCTCAAATCAGAATTGCATTGAACTTCCTTCAAATCCAAGTCAAAAATATCAAATTTCAGATAATTAGCCATGGCTGCAACCAAGCTTGATTTACCAGTGCCGGGCGGTCCAAACAGCAAGTACCCGCGTTTCCAAGCCTTGCCTACTCTCCTATAATACTCCTTCCTCTCTCTGAACCGATCAAGGTCCTCAATCAACGCCTTCTTAATCTCCGGGTCCATCGCCATGGTATCGAAAGTCGCCGGATGATCAAGGTTTATGGAACCCCAATAGTCAGTGCCGTTATAGTCGACTGTGTGGAGCTTCACCACTTTTCTCTCCTCTTTGATTTCTTTGGACTTGTTCAGAATGTAGGGCAAAGATACTGCTTTGTCCATATTCATTTGCCTACCGTAATATCCTGCCATGCAGTTTCCATCTTGTTCTTGCTTTGGAGGAATGTGATAAGACCTTGAAGGGAAACTTGAGCATCATCACTCTTCAGCAGCTCTCCAGCAACTTCAGCAGGTGTTGCTTGTGCCTTGTAATAATCTAGCAACTTCTCAATATCTCCAAAAAGTGGGTGCTCTTGAATCCGCAAGTAATTGTATGCCAATGTCTTGAAACCACTGAAGGTGCAGTAGGACAGGTGGATGTGCAGGTCCATCCGACCAGGTCGCAGCAACGCTGGATCAAGTCGGTCCTTGTGATTTGTGGTGAACACAATGATTCTCTCCTCTCCACAGGTTGACCACAATCCGTCAATGAAGTTCAATAGACCAGAGAGGGTAATCTGTAAATTAAGAAAGAAAGACATTAAGAACCCAACTTGTGAATTATATGATATATATTTTCCATACAGGCAATGTTAGGGGAGGGGGTGAAACAGGGGAGTAGTGAGCTTATATTACCTTGTCGTCTTCAACAGTTTTGGGTTCATTCTCAGCATCCCTGTTTTGCAACTCAACTGAACAATCTATATCCTCGATGACCAATATGGATCGGCTCTTGGTGCCAATCAACAACCTTCTCAAATCAGAATTGCATTGAACTTCCTTCAAATCCAAGTCAAAAATATCAAATTTCAGATAATTAGCCATGGCTGCAACCAAGCTTGATTTACCAGTGCCGGGCGGTCCAAACAGCAAGTACCCGCGTTTCCAAGCCTTGCCTACTCTCCTATAATACTCCTTCCTCTCTCTGAACCGATCAAGGTCCTCAATCAACGCCTTCTTAATCTCCGGGTCCATCGCCATGGTATCGAAAGTCGCCGGATGATCAAGGTTTATGGAACCCCAATAGTCAGTGCCGTTATAGTCGACTGTGTGGAGCTTCACCACTTTTCTCTCCTCTTTGATTTCTTTGGACTTGTTCAGAATGTAGGGCAAGTAAGAGCTGAGCACCATGTCCCTGTGCTTCTTATGGAAGCTGAGCTCCAATTGTCGAACCTCGGACTGTGAATGATCCTCACGTTTGCCATTGGAGGCTGGTTTTTGGCTGGTGACCAAAACCCACTTGAAGTTGACGCCTTTGAAATAATCAACGAGCCCTTGGTTCTTGTCTATAGTGACCAGCAACTGCTTCTCCTTTTCGGGCTTGTTGACTTTGATTCGTCGCGTAGAGGTAGATAGCAGGGTGCCCAGATAGAGGTTGGCCGCCTCGAACATTTCGTTAGGCGTCAGGCCGTCCAGCTCTTCCACGACGACGGTGATCTGGGACGACAGCTTTTGGAGGCGCGAGTAGAAGGAATTTTGGACGACATCGGGGATGAGGTCGTTTGCAATCGTTCGGAATAGAATTGCCGATGCGGCGAGTGATGCCGCCGCTGATAGAATGGTTTTCGGGGAGGGTAGATTTTCCTGTGAGCACCACATTCTTCTTCTGTTTTTTTCTAATTTAGTGATGATTTTTTCTAATTTAGTGATGATATTGCGGGTGATAACGATGATGCGAAGGTTTTTGTAGGGTTTTATCTTCGGGTTTGCTTGGTGAGAAAGACAATCAATAACAAGAAAGTAGGGATACTGAAGATTCAAGTTTAGGTCGGTGGTTTCTCCACGATTGTCTTGCGACTTTATTTTATTACTTTTTTCTCTTCTCTATTGACACCTGGTTTTTTAAGTAAACTTATCTTCAAATAATTCAATCCAACTTAATCCAAATTTTAATTCGTTTAACAACTTAAATTATCTTATGAAATTAAGTTTAGAAATCTGTGCTGGTAGACATTTGGAAATTAAAGGGGGTGTATTCAATTGAGATTTTAAAAGACTATTTTGAGATAAATAAGTCTTGTGGTATTCAATTAAGACTTTTAAATAATCAAAACAAGTCTTGTGGTATTCCATTAAGACTATTAGGATTTTTTTAAAAAGAGTGTCAAAATCTTGTGGTATTCAATCAAGACTTTAAACAAGTAACAAAAAGTCTTATGGTATTCAAAAACTTGTTAATTTCGAAAGATTTTTTCAAATGCGAGATTGTGTGAGACTTTTTAGTGAGATGTATGAATATCAAACCCTATCTCAAATCCCACCCTAACCCATGAGACTTTTTTTTTAACGTGAGATTGTTTTTTGTGCTCATCCACTTCGCCTTCTCTCAAAGCCAACTTCAACAGCCAAAGCTTATGATATAAATTCAAACTCCATATCCAGCTTCACCAGCAAGGTCATTGGCTCTCTGCCCTCACTTGTAAGAAAATTCAAATGAACAAAACAGCTTTGGTCAACCCAATCAGAATATAATTGTTTATATGGCGACTTTGCTGCTACAATTGTTTTTGTCTTTTGTATTAGTCGCTGGTAAATTTTTGTATTCGTTTATCGAGGACCAAAGATTGACTTCCATTAACCATGCTCTGGTTGAACTATTGTTCTTTGTAATTTGATTAAAGTATTTTGGTTGTGCTTTGGATCAGTCTTTAATGATTTCAATGGTCGGCGTTTGTTTGAATCAGTCCCTTTTAGCTGCCTAATGTTCTTGGTCTTGATAATTTGTTTCTTGTGATTATTCTTTATATGGGATTTTCTTGCTCAATTCTTATCCTTCCAGATTGGTAGTTTTTTTTAGTAAAGAGAAAGACAGCTTTTAGTTTTTTTCACATACATATTATAGTTTTTTTCACATACATAAAGAGAAAGACAGCTTTTAGTAAACATGGACAGCTTTTAGTTTTTTTACAGCTTTTATTTTCTTCTTTTTATTGTTTTGCAGTCTCATATATTTTTTTATATACGTATAATGTCACAACCGAGCATGTATGAAGGTAATGAAATGGAGAAAGAAGATATTGATGACGAAGAAATGAAGCTACATCAAATTGGCTATTAAAAGATTGGGAAAATTGTATTGGGTTTTACTTTTCTTTATTAAAATTATAATTTCTTTGTTATTGAATAATTTGGTTGAACTATTGAACTATTGCCATTGCTCATCATCTAATAAGTTGGTTGGTTAGCATCATAAAAGTAAAAAATCCATGTGGTCCTTTCAAATCTTATAAATTCTTATGATATAAATCTTTTAAAATCTAAACGTAAACAATCTTGATTATAAAAATCTTTAAAAAAAATCTTATAAGTCATTACATTCCTAAATAGTCTTTTAAAATCCACTGGACTTATTTATCCATAAATAGTCTTTTAAAATCTCAATTCAATACACCCCCCCTAAGTTTAGAAATCTCGCTCGAAATCTATTTTTTTGCTTTTGCCAACGTCGCTCAAAATCTATTAACAACACGAAGAACAATACAAAAGCCACACCATGCTTAAGAAAAAAATGACGTGGCCTACTTTTAACCATAAAATATTTTGTTAAAGAAATGGACGGCTGACATGGAGTTCAGTCCTCTACATCATCGATGCATTTGGTCCCCAGTTCGTTCGTCGTCCTCGCACTATCCTCTACTCATCTCGCTAGGGTTTCAATTTCGTCGCCGAACAGCCATGGGATCGATTCCTATTTATTGAAATTTTGTGAGTTCTTCAACCTCTAGAAAATCTCCAATCCTAACCCTAACTCACCAATCTAAAACGGACTTCGGAATAACCTCGATGCTTTTAATCGTTAATTCGTTCTTGGGTGCAAGAAAGAAGACATTTTCCTGTCTGTCCAAAATCTGCACTGGTTGTTCCTTACAAGTCAAGTCTTCATTCAACTCCACTGGTTGAAATTCCAAAACATGAGATGAATTGGAAATGTACTTCCATAACATAGATACATGAAACACATCGTGAATCCACAGTAGTTCCGAAGGCAAGACAAGTCTATAAGCAACGAGCCTATTTTGTCGTTTATGAGCCCTTAATTGGGCCTATTTTGTCGTTTTGAACCATTAATTGGGCCTATTTTGTTGCTTATGAAGCCTTCATGGGTCTATTTAGTCGTTTTAGACACGTTAGTGGGCCTATTTTGTCATCTACGGCCCTACATTGGGCCTATTTTGTCGTTTATGAACTCTTCATTGGCCATATTTTGTCGTGTACTGTACCTCCTATGGCCCTATTTTGTCGTTGACGGGCCCGTCATAGACTATTTTGTGGTTTCTGGGCCGTGGGCTTATTTTGTCATCTTGGGCTTTAGTGGCCCTGCTTTGTCATCTATGGGCCTTTAGGCGGCCATTGTGGACCTATTTTGACCATTCAATGGACCAATTTTGTCATTATTGGCGAGCTGACTTCATCTCTAATGGGCCACACTGTATGCCGACCCTAGTTAATCGGAGAGGCTATAATGAGGAATTTAAAATGAGGAGGTCAATCTCAACATCAACAAATGTAAAGAAATCATGAGACTTCAACATTTTAAATGTTTTTATGATGAAATTGGCCTCCTTAAATAGCCTCCTAATTTGAGATTATTGAGCCTCAGTTGCGCTTATTATAAATGGGCCAAACTATATGCTTTTTGCGCCATCAACTGGAGCCTAAATTTTGGATCTCTCAAGCGGACATGATCAAATTTTGGCCCAGCTTTCTTACCAGTCAATTGACTGGCTCTTTCTTTTCTTTTCTGCTAATTTTTCGCTCGTTTTTTGTTTGTTACCCACCAATGTGTCATTTCTGGGCACGTTTATAAATAGCGATTATAGAAGGAACAAGGGGCAGAAAAGATGTTCCACAGCAGTTCCATGTTGCGTTGATTCAGCTGCACCAAAATGGATTCAGCTGCATCCTCAACTTGTGATACTCGCAAGTGCACGAGCTGTTCGGTAGTATAACATATGTAAGTACGAGGTCGATTCCACAGGGATTGGTGATTGAATAATCCAATTCAGTTTTCCTACATAAAACAGAAAAACAAGAAAGAAAGAAAAGAAAATAACTCAAGCAGATAAGTTCCCAAGTTCAATTAGATTAACGGATTGATTCTAGCTAAAGTATGATTAAGCCATGGTGTTTGGTCCTAACCTTGTATTCCTAATTCCCTAATTTGATCATCTGTTGTCTAACCTAAACTAAGCATTAGGAATCCATTAAGCAAAGAAGAACATTTTAAACAACCAAGTATGTATCTAATCCCTGTTGTCGAATGTCCATACATACTCTTCCTATTCATAGTTCAATTCGAATTAAAGCATGGTGTCTACTCTTAATTCAAACCAAGATAGCTAACATGTCAGCCTAAATGGTGATCAATCATTCAAACTAGCATATTAACTTATAAGCATAATGAATAAGAACAAAAACCATAATTGAAACTTGGAAACTAATTAAACTTGAAACTAAAGAAAAGAATTTACATAACAATGAAAAGTAAGAGAAACTAAGAGAAACTAGAAAGAGAATTTCAGCACAAAGATTTCATTACAACAATTGAAAACTAGAAAGAGAAACTAAGAGAATTTGAGGGAGAGAAGGGAGGGGAGCTCTAGAGAAGTGTTTGAGAGCTCCCCCCCTTGGGGGTGTGTTTTGAAGCTTGAAGACTTCTCTATTTATAGGGCTAAGAGGGAGGAACATCATGATGAAATCCAACACCACCATTCCTCATTTAATACAACCCATAACTCCCACTTCATCTTG